ATCATGATGTTGCTTATTGGTCCAGTTGTGAGGATTTTTGTTTTCTTTATGTTGAGGTGTAATCCATACTGAAGGCTGTAGTCTTTGATCTTGATCAGTAAGTGCTTCAAGTCCTTTTCACTTTCAGCAAGCAAGGTTGTGTCATCTGCATATTGCAGGTTGTTAATGAGTCTTCCTCCAATCCTGATGCCCCGTTCTTCATGTAGTCCAGCTTCTCGGATTATTTGCTCAGCATACAGATTGAATAGGTATGGTGAAAGGATGCAACCCTGACGCACACCTTTCCTTACCTATAAACCACACAGGATGCCCTTGTTCTGTCTGAACAACTGCCTCTTGATATATGTACAGATTCCTCATGAGCACAATTAAGTGTTCTGGAATTCCCATCCTTTGCAATCTTATCCATAATTTGTTATGATCCACACAGTCAAACGCCTTTCTATGGTCAATCAAATGCAAGTAAACATTCTCTCCTTTCAGCCAGGATCCGACATCGGCAATGATATCCCTTATTCCACGTCCTCTTCTGAATGCGGCCTGAATTTCTGGCAGTTCCTTGTCGATATACTGCTGCAGCCACTTTTGAGTGATCTTTGGCAAAATTTTACTTGCATGTGATATTAATGATATTGTTTGATAATTTCTGCATTTGGTTGGATCACCTTTCTTGGGAATAGGCATAAATATGGATCTCCTCCAGTCGGTTGGCTAGCTAGCTGTCTTCCAAATTTCTTGGCATAGACAAGTGAGCACTTCCAGAGCTGCATCCGTTTGTTGAAACATCTCAATTGATATTCTGTCAATTCCTGGAGGCTTGTTTTTTTCCAATGCCTTCAGCGCAGCTTGGACTTCTTTCTTCAGTACCATCGGTTCCTGATCATAGGCTACCTCCTGAAATGGCTGAACGTCGACCAATTCTTTTTGGTATAATGACTCTGCGTACTTCTTTCCTCTTCTTTTGATGCTTCCTGTGTCATTTAATATTTTCCCCATAGAATCCTTCACTATTGCAACTTGAGGCTTGAACTTTTTCTTCAGTTCTTTCAGCTTGAGAAATGCGAGCGTGTTCTTCCCTTTTGGTTTTCTTTAAATATAGCATGGTTATTATCTGGCTGGAGGTCTAAGTTTGCTTCTTGAATTTTTGGGAAATAGATTACACTTTCAGTAAGCTAGCAGTTGGCTTACCATACACATGTTATTTGACTATAATATAATTAGTACCAGAAAGTCCCCTTGCTCAAAAATATCTCTTCTATATATTTTACCAAATTAATTTAATCAACAAATTCCTTTTTTAAGATGCAGTAACTTTTCTTAAGATCCATGGCTAGAAGAACACAGAGGTTTGGGTTGGATTGGGGGAGTGGGAAGTGACGGCAGTGAAAAACTGAACTAAAAAGTGAATTATGTGGGATTTATAAAAAGTTAGTACACAGAAACCCTGTTATGAGGGTAAAGTAATGAGATTGATTTTGGACCATTTACCCCAGAATTACTCATGTAAATAGAAATTAGTGTTCTCTTTTAAAACACTCACTCTGGGTTGCTTATGGAAGAGGCTGCATAGGCCCGGCTCACTATTATTACACCCCATTGCTAACTGCCACATTGTCTCATGATCTTGTTTTTCCCTCTGGTTCGTCTCTACAAAAGGTTTAATATTAGCTGATGTTCCTCGTTGGAGGGTGGAAAACAAATGATAATGATCTAGGAATGACAAACCTAACGAAACACCCGTCTTGGGACAAGAAAACCAGGATGTTGCCAAATAACCTCCAAAAAAAGATTAACTCATCTGGGACATGACCATCTCAAGGGGGAACTAACACAAACTTCTAAGACCCATAATCCTGTCCCTATAAAACCTTCGGCCAATCTCCAGCTGGGGAAACAGGTTTTTTTTTTTTTTTTTTGGAGGAATGTATTCCCCCCTGTCTCGTATATATCGATATATAATAAAACTCTGGCTGCTCGCCTCACCCCTGTCTCAGAATTGGCCTTTGCAGCAGGGGGCTCCAATCCCGGTTATTGCAGTTAACACTTACACACTTACTCCAAAGTAGCTCTTTTCCTCTTCCCTTCACCTTGCTGTCATATTCAACTAAAATATCGTTGTTCTTGTTAGGTGCCCTCGAGCCGGTTCCGAATCACAGCAACTGATATCCTCTTTTCTTCTCTTTCCTTACAAAAGGGGCAGAAGGGGAAATAAGGGTGCCCTCAATCTCGCAACGAACTGTCATTGTGCACTTAAAATGTGCAAGGCACTGTGCTCAGAAAATTAAAACCTGGCTTTGCCCTTCGAGGGTGTATCTATGAAGAGGGGAGGAGAGAATGAGTGGAGACAGATACGTCGTTGTTGGGTGCCGTGGAGTTGGTTCCGAGTCATAGCCACCTTAGGTACAACAGAAGGAAGCACTGCCGCGTCCAGCGCCACCTTCACTACTGGAGACAGGTATAGTCACAAGTTATAGCACGATGTGATAAAGGGCCCTAATTGAAGTAAAGGACCAGTGAGGACACAAAGGAGGAAGTGACTAACTTGAGCCGTGTGAGAAACGCCTTCACAATGTTGGTAACTTTTGAATAATTGGGCTGGGGGGCAGAATGAGATGGGGCGGACAGGAGGGAACCACGGGAGTAACCGAATGCTTTGGGAACGGCAAAGAAGTTTCGTCACTGAGCAATAGAATGAAAGGAGTGTCAGAAGCAAAGTACGACAGGTGGGCAGAAGCCAGACCATGGAAAGCAACTTTTTGAGTGTTTTCCACATATAAATTACAGGTTACACGACCCAGTGAATCGAGAACCAAATGTCCACTCTTCAGTAATTCCTCATAGGGGGGTTAAAACCCTAATTCTAAGGGCCGTGGTGCCTCCGAGCAGTTAAGTCGGGGTTGAAGCTGCTTCCCGGTGGCCGGCGGACATTCCTTTCCAGGTGCGGAGCGTCCAGGGGCTCCCATTTGCAGCTGAAGGCGGAAGGCAGAGGTGGCCGCGTCCTGGGGTGTAGGGAGCAGCCTGGTGGACGCCTTGATGAAGCGTCAGTATCAGCGGAGGGGGCCTTTGGAGGAGCGAGGGTGACGCTTGGCCAACACAGGGAGGCGTTGCCAGGACCGCTCGCGGCCGAAAAGAGCCGAGCGCTGGCAGCTGCGTCGACAGCGGGAGGGAAAGGTACAGCTGCCCCTGCCCAAAGCAGTTAATCCCGACATGCTTCTGTCGGGCCGAATTTCAAACCCTCGGCAACAGCCACCTCCCCTCCCTCGCCCCCGTCCTGCCCCAGCAACAGGCGGCGGCCCGCTTCTCATTGGCCCGGCCCCGTGCCGTCGTGTTTTGATTGGCCGCGGTGGCTCTCGGCCCTGCTTCTACGCTCGTCGCCGTCTCCATTTTGTCGGTAGAAGCAGAAGGAGGAGGTCAGATTGGAGACGCTGGCGTGGTCCTTAGCTGCCTCGTCGGTGCTCGTGGGCTTCGTTCGTTCCGTGCCTCATCTCTCCCTGGAAGGGGAGGGAGGCTTCGACCTCGTGTAGGAGCCGCCGCTGCCGTAGTTCCGAGCTTGAAGTCGGTGAGTGGTGGCGGCGCCGCGGGCGCGGCCATGTTGGTGGCCGCACTCCCCATTGTTGGGGGAAGGAGGAGAGCGAAAGCAGAATTGGGAACCCGGGCGGGGCGCGGGGGGCCGGGGAGTCCCAGCCTCCTGGACCTGGGCTCGAGAAAGATGGAGCCGCTCTGGAGCCAAGCCTCACGTCGGAAGAGTCGAGTTTTCCGAGTTCGAGTTGTGAATGACGCAAAGTCCGGGAACTTGTAATTTAGGGTTATTAAAAATGTCTGGAAGCCCTTCTTATCCTCTCGAAAGGAAGGGCGCGCTTACAATATATTTGCTTACTTGGTTTCTTGGAATGTCAAATTAAAGTGAAACCGTGAATGTTTGCCTATTTAAGATGGAAAGCTGGCTTAGGTTGTTACGGTTTATGAAAACTTGAAGACGGGGAGGAGTCGAGTGTTAACTAAAGGAGATACTTTGCATGATGTGGACATGTTGGGAGAGGATGTTTTGTGTGAAAACGGGTATGTGGCATGTCGAAAGATTGGAAAATTATGGTGGGATTTTAAAAACATTGTGTGGTGTGTCTCTTTACAAAATAAATTTTAAGCCAATTTCTTGGTACGACTGCAAGGACTAACGCTTCTCTAGTTTAACATTTTTGGTAACAAAATCCGTATGAAAATCTGAAAGGTCCTTCCCAAGAAGAAGTAACAAAATTTGTTGCAGGACTTGCAGCCTTCCTTTCCAAAATTTCTCAAGGGTTTCTGGATCTCATGGATAAGACGAGTTTTTAAATGATGGCAGTTACAAGGCCAAAGAAAAGCATCTCCAGAGACATTTTCTACCTTAAGTTCAGGAAGTAGCCATTCTTTATAGTCAGTTATTTCTGTAGTTAATATACATGCTCAATTTCTTGTTTTTTGAAGTAATCTTTGCTTTTCTAGCTGGGACTTCTCTCAGACTTGTGTGCTGAGGAGACTCAGATGTTGGCCTCAGCTCCTAGGCTGAACTCAGCAGATTGGCCCATGAAAACTTCTGTATTCAGACAAAGGAAAGGATCCGTCAGAAAGCAACACCTATTATCCTGGGCTTGGCAACAAGGAAGAGGACAGGTACTGGAAATCCTGCAATCTGAAAAGCAGACTGAAAGGTATAAAAATTCACATTGTAATGGAGAATTTTACTGGGCAAACATTTTATGATGGATTCAAATCCTAAACCAGTTGTTTTCATTTTTAAAGAGGATTGTTCAGATTTGTGGGCAAGCTTTTTTTTTTTTAAGAGGAAGTAATAAAGGTTGTGCATATAGTGAAGTGTGAACAATTTAAGTTTCTAGTTACAGCAGCCAAATAGCCATTTTTTAAGTTTTCCCCAAAACTTCTGGAATTGCCATTTGGGACTATATGGAAGCTTTTTAAAGAAAAATTTGAACCTTTTTTTCCTGGACTTCTATTCAATATTTTGTTTTCCATTCATTTACAGGTGACAAAGAAGCTGAAGATGGGTGGTGGAGAGAGGTATAACATTCCAGTCCCCCAGTCTAGAAATGTTAGTAAGAACCAACAACAGCTTAATAGACAGAAGACCAAGGATCAGAATTCCCAGATGAAGATTGTTCATAAGAAAAAGGAAAGAGGACATGGTTATAATTCACCAGCAGTTGCATGGCAGGCCATGCAAAATGGGGGGAAGAACAAAGTACATTTTCCAAATAATCAAAATTGGAACTCTAGCTTATCAAGCCCCAGCTTACTTTTTAAGTCTCAAACTAACCAGAACTATGCTGGAGCCAAATTTAGTGAGCCACCATCACCAAGTGTTCTTCCTAAACCACCAAGCCATTGGGTTCCTGTTTCCTTTAATCCTTCTGATAAAGAAATAATGACATTTCAACTTAAAACCTTACTTAAAGTACAGGTATAAAAGAAGATAAAGTACTAATGTTTAAATTTAGATATCATCCTAAAGAACAGTCAGTGAATCTGAAACAGGTTCACTAGGGAATTAATTGTTTGTGTAAAACTGCTAATTAATGTTGAAAATATGATTAGACTTTTATGTGTTATGTGCACTGTGATGTAATGATCATAGCAGTGCAACTTAAAATTACTAAATAATTGTACTTGATATTGTGTTCTCATTTGACTAACTCTTTAAGTAAAACCATTCCAGTTTAGATTTGGGGAGTGGTAAAGGGAATCAACTTTCTATTGCTTGTAACTAAAATTATTCATGGATCAGTAGATTTACTTCTTGAAAACTAGTGAATCAGAATACAAGTTTCTAGCTAAGAGAGAAAAGGGTTGAGAACTAATTGAACATTTGAGTAGTTTAATGTCTTAGAAACACTCAACCAGTAATAATGCCAACCTGATGTACTGCCAAAAAAGGTGAATTTTTAATGAATGCTTGCATTTTAGTAATTGTACAGTGGTGAGTGTGGAAAGGGCACCTAGGGGCTTGTTAAAATGATGCACAGTACACCCAACAGCCCTGTTTCTTACATGCAGTAGGTAGGTGTCTGCCAACAAATGCACCAAAACCATTTTTTATAGACAGTATTTGGTGGTCACTGAATAGCATTCAAAATACATTTTTGTATTATAGCACTGCACAAGCTATTGACAGTGATCTGGCCTCAAATCATCCCTGCAAAGCTTGCTTGAAGTGGGGAGGATTGTATAATGTGAAAGTTTTAAGTATCTAGGAAAGTTAAGAGCCATGTAAATACATGTAATAAACTTGTAGCATATGTAAAGTTTTGTTGGCCTTTATCCTACAAAAATAGACTATTTTAGTATGAATTTGCTGAATGTAAGACCATGGACTTTATACTATGGCTTAGTTTTAAAGGTTCAAAATAATTTGTTTATAAAGTTTGCCATTGTGCTAAAGTGCCAGTGTATGCTATAATTGATTTGGTTGTAAACTATATTTCAAAGTAAATTCTAGTGTAAGAAGTCTTATAATGGAAAAGGTTTAAGCTGCTAAAACACTTCCTATTTTTGAGAGATGTGAAATGCAGTACTGGACTATTTTTTTTTCCTTAAGCCCAAAGATTAACTATTAAAGGGTCCCACCAGCCTTTAAATTCATTGTGGCTTTCACCAATTTTTGTAACCTCTGATCCTGGTATGTTGTGCTATGCCAGTGATGTGTTTGTTCTCATGAATAATTACAACCCAAGGGGACCATTTATGCAAAATATGTAATTTCCTGCATAGTATCTTGATATACAACGTTTTTACCTACCTTAAAGGTAAATGCTAAACGATGTTAACCCAATAGCACGTTAAAAGAAAAAGTGGTGGGTGGGAGGTTAATTTCAAAATTCTGGTTGCAAAGGCCCTATTTTATGATATGGCAGCTCTTTTCATGTTTATAAGCAGAATGGCTGAGTTGTATTTCTTCAGATGAATCCAGATGAAATAATACTGTCCAAGTCTGATATTGCTATCTTGAAGACAAATTTATATAGTACTTAATGTACTGTAAGAACTTAAAGCATTAAAAAAGTGTTTTTCTCCCCAGTGGTTTGTTTTTATTTAAGAAACAAAGCTGTATGACTGTAATAGTTTACTCTTAGGAAAACATAATTAACATTGAAATATGATAGGACTGTTAGTTTGCAAAGAGGCGACTGATTAATTTGCTAACTGATGTTGAAGACATTTGGATTAGCTTGACAGCTAAGCAATTAAAGCAGCTACTCTTGACTCCTCCTCCTGCCTGCCTCTCCCCCATAAAAAGGCCACAGAATACTTGGGAAACTTCACGAATCAGGCTTAATTATGTCTTCTCTTTCTACGTTTTAAGATGATCTAGGTTTACAGGAAAAAAAATAGCACAAAAGAATTCCTTCCGTTGACAAGAACCACACCTGCTAATTGACGGGAGTCTACAAACTAGTTAAAGAGTAATCAATCCCAAGGCAAGGCTATATTTTTTCGTGCAAACTGTTAAGAAATAATCAATTTGGAGGTAAGGTAGGATCAACATTTAGGTCTGCTTTCCTGTCTTGTTCCTAGTATAATTTCTATAACAATGCCAAGGATTGCCAAATGGCTTCAAGGTAACCTGAATATAAGATTGATCATAACATCTACCTTAGAAAGGTGCTACGTAATATTGTGGTTAGCCTACAGAAAATATGGTGACAGGAATTTGCCAAATCAACCCACTTGTGAAAACCCAAAAATAGCTGAAACTTTTCTAGAATTTATTTAGTTTCATTTTCAGGGGCAATTTGTAAAATGAGGACAGGATAAAACTATTAAACTTCTTAAATGAGTATTCAGTCACAGATTTGTAAGGCAGAGCTAAACTTATAACAAAAACAAGACTTTTTGGCTCCTACTACAGAATCAAACCTGTTGACGATTCCAACTCACAGCAACCCTACAGGACACAGCCAACTGCCCCATAGCATTCCCAAGGCTGTAAATCTTTAATGAAGCAGACTGCCACATCTTTCTCCCATGGAGCTGCTGGTGGGTTAGAGCTGCCAACCTGGTTAGCAGCCTAGCGCCTAACTACTGTGCCACCAGAGCTCCTAGACCAGTGTTTGTTTCACTTTCCAGCATATGGTCTGAAGAAAAATCAAGGACATTGTCTTTACAAACTACCGTCAACTCTCAAATGAATTTACATGCCTCACTTTTTATTCCACATAAAAAAGAAAAAGCCCAATCTTTAATACATGGGTGAAACAGTTACATGAATACATACAACTCAGTAAGTATAACCAATACTACTGGGAGGAGCGGGCAGAGGAAAATACCCAAAAGAGAAGGAATCTTCCATAGTGACTAGCAGAATGTCTGTGAATGTCAACAATTGAAGACAAATGGGTTACTTCATATTTATCACGTTATCACCATCTAAAATGAGATCAATTTACCTCCTGGATTCCTTAAAAAAAAAAAAAGCTTTGAAGGTAGAACACCATTACATTACAGGCAGTCTTCTGGGGTTACAGGTTACAAAGTTAGTACCTCATAAAATGTTACATTAAAAATTCGAGGTACATACAAATGGTTTGTAATAACGGGTGTTCCTTTGTGACATGCATCAAAACATTATTACTATATTATGTTAAAGATATTTTTAGTGTATGTGGAAGCGTTTAAATTTTTTATGCATAGGAAGATACACTACACACTAAGACAAACATGATTAACTGATGTTAGGTACAAACCATACCTAATTGTTCTGATTTGGGAACAAACTTGAATTAGAATAAAAAACAGACTTAGGAAGAGAACTCCTCCATAATCTGGGGACTGCCTATATTCCAGAACTGCTGTTGTGCTGTCTCAAATAACAGCCTCTCCCATTACAAAATATACCTCCACATTTTGTACAGAATATGTTCAAAGAGACTGAAATTTGGAAAGCCAGGCTTAAAAGAAATCTCTGAGTCAAGACAGCTGTGAGATCTTGGACTGCATTTAACCTCAAGGGTTTCTCACTCAAAATTTACCCATTATCTTGTAAGGTTGTCAAGACTGAAACAGCATATGCAATAAGGCTACCACATGGTAGGCATGACAATATTCTTGTCTGTAAAATGGAACAGTATCCTTCTAGGAGTTTTTAGGATTAAAAAAAAAAGGCATACAGCTTGACATGCATGTTAAGTGCTTAATAATACTGACACATAAATGGAAACCACAGAAGATAACTTAAAGCAATTCATTCTAATTCAACAGCTGCCAAAACCACATTGGCCTTTTTATATTTAAAACTTTTCAAGAACTATCAAGTACAGTGTTAACTGTACTTATAAAAACAAAAGGACAAAGTATTTTCCAGCAAAACTAAAACCAGAAGGCTATTAAAAACTCAATGTAGGTATTCATCAATATTTTTTTGAAAAAAATCTTAATATCCTACTCTCCTCCTTGAAATTTTAACCTCACTTTAAAAGGAGACAAAGGGGGCAAAACTAATACTGAAACATCTGAGTTTTAAAAAATACACACAACCCTTGCGTGTAAGAACAACCACTCAAAGTCTTAATGCTGATGAGTACGTAAAGGCATTAAAAGAATACTTTTAAACTAAACCTAGTCACCTTTGTTGTAAGTGAACTCTAGATTCCATTATATCAATTTTATTGTCTTCATGAAAATAAAGGTATAAATTATCCCCTTTGATTAAAACAATAATAAAGATGAACTAAGTGAAAAAATACAGACTAATCTAGGATCTGCCATTTACTTGCTGTGTGATCTTTGACAAGTTAAAAAAATTTTTTTTTATAATACCTCCCTTGGTTAAGAGCTCGGCTGCTAACCAAAAGGTTGGCAGTTCGAATCTACCAGCAGCTCCCTGGAAACCCTACGGGGCAGCTCTCCTCTGTCCTACAGGGTTGCTATGAGTTGGAATCGACTTGATGGAACAGGCAACAGGTTTTTTTTTTTTAGTTGTATGTATCCTGCTATATTTTCAAAATCTTTATCAAAGGGTTAAATTCCACTTCTGGATTTTTAGAGGAATAAACTTTACGTGTAAAGTTTTAAATATGTGGCAAGAATATGATGAAAATCAAATATGTTAGTGAGTGATGGAATCAATGTATAGGTAAACAAACTTCATATCCTAAAATAAGGAACTAAGGAATCCAAAACATTTTATGATACTAAGAAAGTTATTTATTCACTATACACAGAACATGTCCCCTATAAAATGTACATGTAAATCACTAAAAAGTAAATTTGGTGAACATTTTCTCAATTACAGAACATACTAAATCAGTTGGGATAACAGCTCTGTCTGCCTCAAAATAATCTAATTTTAGCACCCAGAGGTCTCTCCTTGATATCTAATGCAAAATTAAGTATTTATTTTGGGGGTTATTTCCTAATGTGTTTGAAGAGGCAGAGTTAACAATTTAATATAACTCTAGTATATTACAGTCACTGCACAATAAATCAGTTTATTACAGATTAAAACAAATCATTTTTCTCATTATTTGTATTAATGGGATGCAAACAGAAATACTGGATATTTTAAAATGGCAGATAACCACAAAATTACTTATCTTTGATAGCATATTGGGTTTTACAATTACATTAGGATGAGTGGTGTAAAATATTGTTATGAATACACCTCAAACAAAACAAAGAGGCCATACTGTAATGATTCACTAGATTGTGCTCAGCAGACATTTACTGAATAAACGAATTTTATCTACTTTTCTCCCCAATTACCCAGTACAATGTTTGGCCCACACTAAGGGCTCAATAAATGTTTGCTGAATATACTATGAAAGAGGTGAGTAGAGAGGACCCTCTTAGCCGGCTGTCAAGTACTATACTTGGAAATTACCTGGGAAAGAGTAGCTTAAGGAAGATGTAAACGGCATGTGGCGTACAAGTAAATAAACTCAAGATGCCAACAAAGCAAACAATTAAGCAGAAACACTGGCACTGGAATAAACAAAGGCAAGATTTGCCAATAATAGCCAAAAAGGAACTGACTTCTTTAAGACACAACCAAGAAAAAGTTTATATTGGACCATACCTTTCCCCACCCAATTCAGTTTGAGACAGACCAATAGAGGCACTGTAAGAGACAATGGCTGTCTTCCTTAATATTCAGACATCCTAGTTTTCAATAATTTATTATGGACCTATTACTCACGAATCAATATAAACCTATTCATATTTAGGGATTAGTTTCCACAAGTACAAAGTTGAATTTCCTTTTATTTGTCCTAAAATGCTTACTTTCAAACTTGAAGGGACTTCAATTATTCCATGTAGTTTTCGATAACATTCTTTTATCTTTTCAGACCAGAGTCAAAATATTCGTACAGTATTCATACTGCAGCACCTTCCACCCACCCTTTGGTCGCTTGAACTGCCCTTCTTTGGTTCTTTTTCCGCTTTCTCAGATCTTTCTTGAAGTGTAGTAAGCAGAACTGTACTGGGTATTCCAGCTGCAGTTTGGTCTTAAATAAAAGAAGGATGTTTGTCAGTTTGGTTTTCTTTATTCTTCTCTGTGGTATACAGGATTTTGTTAGTTGAACTGGATGTAGCAGCTTACTGGGCCAAATTTTTCAAGAGAATAGTACAATAGCTCCCAGGTCTTTTCCCTGGGTTGTAACTTATCAGCTCATACTCTATGTAGCACCTTTCCTTTCTCACTGAAGCATTATCTGTCATTTTTCTTCTTGCTTACTTGGCTTCAAAAAAAAAAAAAAAAAAAATGCAGAGATCTTAAGTAAAAAGAGAGGCCAACTATCAACCCTCACTTGAATCTTGATAGGATCTACTCTATTTAATATTGAGCACAGTGCCAGACACGTAGGTACTCAGTAATTCTAGAACTACATAACCCAAAATTAACTAAAAACACGGTGTAAGGATCCTCATCAAGTATCAGTAGGATCCTATCAGGGTTCAATCATAATATAGTACTTTTGAAGCTTACTTGAGAAACATACAAGGCTCTTAAAAAACAAACAAACAAAAAAACCAACAGTTTGAGTTTAAAAATAAGTGAGGCAAATACAAATTAAAACCCCACACCTTCAGTTCTGCAGAGACCGAGAACAATTTCAATGGGCTACCTCCTGAATCTACTTTTGGGATTAATATGATTATTACACTACCTACTTTAAGTTTCTTACCAAAACTTAGGGTCTGATATTTTATGAGAAAGTTTATTTTTTATCTCTCAAACTATAGTCCATTAAAAGAAAAAAATCATCTAAGTATCAGGCCTGGGCTTAAATCCTGGCTCTACCATTTACAGCCTTTGTGACCTTAATCTCTTTGTGCCTTAATTTCCTCATCTGTGATATGGGAAGAGCAAATGATTTAACATGTAAAGATTTTAGAACAGTGTCTGGCACATCATAAATAATAAGTATCAGCTATAATTACTGCCATTATCAAGTAGCTAGAATTCAAACTGCAAAATACCTAAACCACTTCCCCAAAGTGGTTATCACTTAACACTGACTGCTCACCAACATTCAATGCAAAAATATTTTAAACTATGCCATAAACACAAGGCTGAATGTATCTTGTTTAGGAAGAGGGGAGAGCAGAAATATTGGTCCATCCAATAATGAAAATAAAAACTTAGTTAGCTGCCCCAAATTGCATTTTAACACTACCAAATAACCTCTAAGTTATTTAACCCAAGAGGCTTAACGAGCCATCATGAAACAACTTTTACATTACATAAGGAATTTTTAAGTATTATGTAAAAGATGCAGCTTTCTGGCAAGTCCTATCATTTCCAAAGTCAAAGTTAATTGTGCCTAGTTCAACACTGATTAAAAATATTTCTAAATCTACAAAGGACTGTTTTCATTGTTATTTTAGAATCATATTCCAAACTATAATAATTCCAGTTAATCATTATTTCCTTCATTTTGTTTTTATTATAGCATGTTTGCTTAATTTACAGCAAGCAGAAAATAAGCTGGGTCTTGTTTTGATCCAAACATTGATGTTTTAAAGGTTGTACACAATATTTGTTAAAAAGAACATATAAAAATACCTTTTTAGAAGCTTCTATAAGAAAGGAAATACAAAGTTTAACCCCACAACTTTCCTCTTAACTAGAACTGCAAACTACTGCTACAGTTTTAAATAGACTTTTTGTTGTTTAAACTATACATCCAGGAAAATCTAAAAAATTAAAGAAACGTGCATATAAATGATTGCATAGCAGAACATGAACATTAACTGCAAACAGTAAAGAAATGAAAGTTAGAAATACTATCAAATATACAAAGGTTCTAGAATCAATCCTTCAAAACACATTCCACAAACAGTATTTAAAAATCACCTTTTGTTCTTTACAGGCAGGCCTAGATAACTAAAACCAAAACTGAAAACAGTAATCCTCTAAAAGGAATCGCCCCTCCACAATATTTCTTACTTTTATCTGCAAGCAAGCAATCTGGGATTTTTAAAGATGCTAGCTTTTATTCTGAAATGAAATTGGATGTGTCAAGTCACTTTTATTGCCCCAAAATGAACTTTCAGAGAAATACTAGAAATTACAAATGGTTAATTAAGGGTATCATTTTCTCATTTTTAGGCAGGTATTGCCAGGTCTACATCGATAAAAAATTCTTGGAGATGTCAATCTTGCTTAATATTGACTAATTCTTTTTCCAAAATTATTTTAAATTTCATGGCACCACAGAATCACCTAGTAATGGGAGTGTTGTCTTTCAACTTGCCTCACATTAAATAAACTGAAGTGTAAAGGGCAAGCCTCCTTTGTAAAGAGGTAAGCAGATTTTGATACAAATGCACAAACTGAGTGAGCCATAAGCATCAAAATTTAGTTCTTTTCCACTATCCACACACACACACAAACAAAACCTACTTTGAAACAATTTACTTGCTTCTAACAGCAGTAAGAAAACTAAGCAATATTATGGTCAACAATGTCCTTAAAATTTAGAGTAACTACAAAACGGCATTCTTTCCTCCTAAAATTATTTCTGCCATCATCGATCTGCTCAAATCTGAGTTTTTCCTGAAGTTTCTATGCTTCAAATCTTCATAAAAACCAGAAAAAAGCAGTGAAGGCTCCATGTTTCAGTCAAAAACTCAATCTCTGAAAATGCTACTTAACCCAGTTGGCATCATTTTCCAAGACAATAGAGATAACAAAAGAATTATTCCACACTGCAAATTGAAATAAACTATTATCATGGGCCTAGACCGTATTAACAACTCATAAAGGTCCACCCTGAACCTAAATGTGTCTGAGCTGTGTCGTCCTGTGCCTACAACCTCACTTTCTGTATCATTCTATCTTATTAACAAGCTACATTTCTAGGTTAACAGTTCTACCAAATATGGATATGAAAGTTTATTTTTAATAAGACAATGTTGCAAATTATGGTCAACCAACATCTTTTCACCAATACTTCAAGCATAAAAAATGAGAATCTTTACAAAAATATACAGAGACACCACAAATTGGTAGCTGCCCATAACATTAAACAAACTGGACTCTTAAGAGTGGCTTCTCAACAGCATATCATTTTAATTATAACCATTGCCTTGTACAGGGAAAACTAACAAGTGTTTTTTAAGCATCATTGCAACATTGTATTCCTGATAATTTAAGTAAACCAAACTATGAGTAAATGAATGATACATGCCTAAAAATATCATGGTTTATATATACTATTAGTGGCTACTGGACTTAGGACTAGTCCAAGACCTTGATCTAGATTTTGACCTAGACCTAGACTGTGATCTTGACTGAGATTTGGATCTAGGTGGTTCTTTTTTCCTTGATTCCTTTTCATATCTTGAGCCAGACTTATAATGTGTTTTGGAATCTGTTTTAGAGGTGCCTCTAGTTTTGGTGTGAGATGCAGACCTAGAACGTGATTTAGCCTTCATTTCTTTCTTGGGCTGGGACTTGGACCGTGATCTTGAATTGGATTTAGATCTTGAAAAAGATCGATTTCGGTGTTTGAATCTTTCAAAACAGAGGAGAAATACAATTAGAGTAAAAATTAGATTCTATATTAATCAAATTTGTTATTTTTAGAGCAAAAGTTCACTCTGAAATTGAAAAACATATAGGTCTTTTTCAAAACAAAATTATTTACCTATCATTGTCGGAATGGCTTCTGCTACGCCGCGGTCTTCCAGTCGGTCTACTGCTAAAAAGTATACCAAAAAAAGCAAACAGTGACAAGTGTCTATTTACAGAGATTCTTTTAAAGTTTGTAATTAAAAAAAAAAGTGAACCATAAAAATTTTAAAATGAAACACCAAAATATTTTTAGTCTCAATGAAACATTCAACATACATAGTTAAAAGTATACAAAAGGGTAAAAAAAAAATTAATGTGCTAGCAAACATAAATCTTTTCTAATGGGTCTTTGTGCTATACATCACACTTACTTTCTAGGACTATAAGATCTTCTATAGTTGTAATCAAAAGACCGACTTCTTGATCTCCTTCTTTCATAACTTCGGCTTCTAGAACGTCTGTATCTGTCATAATCATCATAGCGTGAAGAACTGTATACATTCCTCCCTTCCTTGGCTTTCATCTGATTTGGTGCTATGAAATATATAGAACAGAAATATTCAGAAACATTAAAAACTTAGTATTTAAGCCCTCACAATTATAGAAAAAAAAAATAAAATTGATAAAACTGTTTTCCTGCATCTTCTTTCTTTATACCCCTGTGTTAATGTAAATATTAACCTTGGAAAAAGTATTCACTGATTTTCAAGGAAGTCTATTAGTAAAGACTTTTATGTTAAAACTTATGCTCTCAAGTATCTCTCCCACTGTTTTGCTTCTTCAAAGTTCTCTCACCATCTAGCTTGCTGTCCAAGATATACCAACTACTTTGACATTATGAAAATATATCTTAATAAAAGTATTTTTTGAAATTCCAAATTGAAATACATGAAAGACTTTTGAACAATATGCTGATTTAGAACTACCCTGCCATGGTTTCCATTCATTAGGAACACAATTAACAACAAAAATACTTATTGGTGGCCTATGAACAATATAGTGTCAAAATGCAGATTATACAGTTATACAGTTCTGAGATCATGACAAAGAAGAGTGGAAGAGAACTTAACACTTATAGAATACCTTATACACATACAGCTGCAGCTTTCAAATCTTATGTCATTTCATTTTAATTGTACAAAGCAACTACTTTTATGTATAAACAACAAGATAAATATCCAGGAACCTATCTCTTAACCAAGAACCAGGGAATAGCTTGTGTCCACCTAAGTGCTGCTCCTCTCTTCAGCAGCTATTTAACTGCTATCTTTTAGTATCTTGGCCAAGATAAATAATGGTTGAGCCAGAATTCAACCTAGATCTATCTGACTACAAAGGCTGCACCCTTGCTCTGCCTCATCCATATGCAGCAAACATCTGGTGCATGCCAGCATATATAATAAAAATGAAGTACTAACATAAAACCTATCCTAAATTTAATTTATATAGCTTTTCCCGGTCTAATTATATCCAATTGTTTCCATATCCATGCGTCCACATAATTGTCTAATTATAATTTGAAGACAAATGGCTTAAGAAACCCTAAACTTTCCAAGTTTTACTCCTTTTAATTTCAGCCCTCATATATTAAACACCACAACTGATAATACTGATCAACTTTCTGAAGAATCCAAGCGTATTTTAGCCATTCCAATCTCTTCCACACCCTGCCTATGTCTACTCTGAAATTTTGTAATACATCTGAAAAATATAACAAAGTACTGTATTCAAGATATTCTACGTTCTCAAAAACTCTTTTCAGGTTCTGAATAGGTAAACTGCTTAAATATTTCCAAGAAGAAACCTCAATGCAAAATACTGTCTAGAGATGATACATAACACATGATAGACATAAGGGTACTTACTCTTCCGATCCCCCTGTGCAAACTGGATTTCAATTTGACGTCCACAAATCCATTTTCTGTCCAAATTATGTAAAGCATCTTCGGCATCACGAACATCCTCAAATGTGCTAAATGTTAAGGGGCTTGGGAAATTTTGCAAACTTTGATAATAAATTAAAAGTTCCATTGGTGAGTCTGGAAAAACTCACAATTTCCAAATATTGTTCTAGAAAATCAACCAGACCCCACTTAACTAGTTGGCTGACTCAGCTATAAACACTTCACTAGTGATTTCCTAAGGCATAAGTTTTTTAAAAAACAAACGTGAATATACTTTTTTTTAAAGTTATCATTAAAATAAGATGCCATAGCTGAATCACCAAGTAATCCTACGAAAAAATTTCCTGGGTTTTAAGAATTAACTTTATAAAACAAGACCAAAAAAAAAAGGTCAGTTCTACATTAGATGTTAAAACAAAAAATTATTTAATAAAACTAAGATACTATTTTTCATATATGTTTCAATGAAAACAAGAAAATGCCAATAGTTCTTGTGAAAGCAAGCAGAATACACCTTACACGATGAAAGCATTAACCTCAAATTAATTTCACTGTTTTCTCAGATACAATACTATTGTTTTATGTATGTCTTCCTTGCATCACACATGGAAGACCCGCACACCAGCCACTTTTGAGTATCAAGACAGAGTCAAGCAATACTCAAGACAATTACTACATCAAAAGCATATTACATCCATGCAGACTGTTGTAAAAGCATGCTGTCAAGAAATAACAGACTCCGCTAGGGGATCCTAGACTCGAAAGCCCTAACCATGACACAGCTTCCTGCAAAGAAATGGGCCTAGGATTGGTTTCCAACTTAATTTCAAGGTAATATTTATCAGCCTGAAGCAGGAACCGCTGGTACCCATTTTAGATTTGAGAGACTAAGCTGCCTTGCCTTGTCCTCCCTTTCCCTAACATCAGCAATAACACTATGAGAAGTCCTGGCTTTACATAGTTATTTTGTCTAAAGCTAGCTCTTTTCCTAAAACCACCACTCTTAACAGAAGCCAAGTACACATTCAGGACAGCTTGGGAAAGGGAGCTACGTTAGGTTTAGGTGTGTACTTTCATTTTATCTTAAAAATCACTAACTTGTCCACTTCTATTTCTTAAATTTGAGAGAGAAGACAAAAGTAGTGGTTTTAAAAAGCTGATTGAAAGACACCTCTGAAAGTGACACATTCTGTTCAAGACTGATACTACTGCTCTTTTATTCCAGAGACCAAATGGTCTGCCTCCCCAATTTCTCCCTTTTATTGTTAAAGGAATCAAGGCCTTCAGCAGGTTTCCAGCTCTCTCTTCCAAAGGCTATTATGTGTAGGTTAAATGGAAGGAGAGCTTTTCCCAAGTCCTAAATCATTGGGCTTTCAACATGAAAAAGCAAAGAGAGTTTGAATGTTGAATACTGTAACTGAACACCCCTCAAGGTTAATGCAGTTGGGCTCTAAAATAATTAGGAGTACGTTCACTTACAGGGTATACTACTTAATTTTTTGTTACCCTCAGAGACAGAATATAATCATATTAAAAATGATTTGTATCAAGAGAACTATAAAAATTATTAATGAGGTTAATAAAATCTTCCTCTGGTGCTACCCTCAATAACAGAATCCTGGGCTGGATGGACCACGGCAAGGTCCTACTTAACCTGTTAACCCAGGGATAGGTAAAGAAGGCTGAGAACAGAGTTAGGTAGAAGAGACAGGGACAGCCAAATATCATTCTGATGCCAGTCATGGCAAAATTTGTACTTCAAATTTCAGATCTTTCAAAAAACACAACTGATAATCCTGTTACCTATTTCTTTTTAACTATTTTAAAACCACAGAAAAATTTACTGTGTGCACATGTACCAAAAAAAAAAAAAAAAAAATCACTCTCCTTTGGATTCCTTTAGGTGACAACCCTTTTTTGGCTCAAGTTATCATATACTCTTGACTCAAACTATTGGTTCCCAGGTCACCCCCAAAACAGGTAAAATCACTACCTGTATTTACCAGGCCAGATATAGCTCTTATCCTCTCTGTAAGAGCTTTGCAACCAGTTCTCACACTGTCCTTGATCACTGGTCCTGCAGGAGCAGCTTTTGGCCATTCCCCACGAGTCTCATTAGGACTCAGATTAACTTGAAGTTTCAAGAAATCCACTGAATTTAAACAATTAGAATTTTCCTAGCCTGAGGTCCACAGCCCAAACCTTTGTTGTTGCAGAGAGATGATCTCACTGAAAGGGCAGGAAATACTGTCACCTGAAACTCTGGGTCAAGCAATTTCCTACAGACACTGATTAGGTACCCGCACTAGGGAGGCAGACATCTGGGATACATTTTAGGGCCAACTGATCATATGTGCTAAAGCACTGCAGGGCTAGCAGGGTTCACAGTGCAAAGCTTCAGATGTGTGGAGTTTGTGTGTGCTTCTAGCAGCCACTCAAAATTTATCTACAGACAGGTAGTATTTCTAGTGGATCGGACCTTACAAAACCACCAGAGGTATTTCTAAGTCATGCCAAGTGCATGCACCTGTCTCGCCCTTAGGCACAGTTCTGTGGAGTTGGCCTGATCCCAGAACCTCATGCTACTTCAAAGAGTGCTGCCTGCTACCCTGGGGCATCTGATCACTCGGTTCAAAACAGAAATATGCCGAGTTTAACCTTAATGATATTACACCCTAGTATGACAAGCTAAGAGTGTGCATTTATACAAGACCACAATCACAACATCAAAGGCCGACACAAATCAAGTTACAGGTTTTGTCACTAGACCAAACCAGGATAATTTTTGAACGTTAACTGCTTACAAAACACACACACACACACACACAAAAGATAATAGTTATTCCGTAGGATACATCAGGTATGACTCCTTTAATCTTGGCCATCATTCAACTTCATCTTGACCTTTAACTCTTTAAGTGCTTGTCAGAAGGACTTGTCATGAGATGCTTGGCCAAATATGACAGATGGCTTTATCTTTAACTTTGAAAAACAACCTTTTCCCCCTTTTGTAGATAAAGCGAGGCTTTGTCTCCCATTAGGCTTGTCCTTCTTCCAGCTTTTCTTTATTTTTTCTTTTCCCAAACTCTCCCTTCTCTTCAAGCCTGATCCTTAAGAGGTCTTTGGCTTGTCTACTTGCCTTAAGTGTTGAACTCTACTCTAAAGGTTCTTTCATGCTTTCTCTTTGGGGTCGCCATAACTGTACAGCTTTACATTCTCTGAGGTAACAACAGAGGACAGCAAATTAGGGGACAATATTGAAGAAGTTTACCTCATTGTTATACAATTTGTTTTTGATCAAGTGATTCAAATTAACAAAACAATACCAAACTTTATATTGCTAAGCATAAGAACACGTTAACTTTTAATCTGATTTACATTAAAAGTGGTAGCAACCAGAGCGTATTCAAATTTAAATCACAGAGTATACTCATTGATTTGAGTTTCAGCAGCATGAATGGGAATTTAAATACTTTTACTCTATTTGAATTAACTTTAAGAAATAGTAAGCAATGTGTGAGTTAATTTTCAAAAAATCTGAAGATATAAGACATTAGAGGACAAAAACTACTTTTTAGATGTTACCTCTTACATAAACTTGAATTTCAAACTTCAACACCCCTCACTAATCAGCCATCTGAAGAAAGGATATTGAACATAAGCAAATCCTCTTGGACGTCGAGTGTAGAAATCAAGTGGAACATACACATCAACTATAGGACCATAGCGACCAAACTCTCGACGTAAATCTTCAGACCTAAAACATCGTAAAAAGATCCCAAATTTTTATGTTCATGCCCTTAAAAGAGTTTCTTTGTAAGAAATAGGTATCTTTCTATAATATCTCAATCAATGAAAGGGACTGTGGTTTAATAAAATGGGAATGTGTGACGCATAGGTCTCACCTGTGTTCCTGGGTGACCTGAAACTGACAAGATTTCTGAATCTCAACTTAAGCACTAATATAAAAAAATGAACAGGCAATATATCTCTTTGTTCAGTGAAAGCTATAAACCAAACCAAACCCATTGCCATCAAGTGGATTCAGACTCACAGGGACTCTACGGACGGAGCAGAACTGCCCCACAGGGTTTCCAAGGCTGTAAAATCTTTGCAGAAGCAGACTGACCAATCTTTCTCCCTCAGAGCAGCTGGTGGGTTCCAACTGCTGACCTTTCGGTTAGCAGCTGAACACTTAACCACTGTGCCGCAAGGGCTCCTCAAATGAAAGCTATAGGATCCAAGAATTTGGAAGATGAAACGCAGTTTATAATAAAATCTTTCACCATTTTACATTAATATGTCTAGCAGTCAGGAAAACAACAGTCATAGAAACTCGATCATAATTTATCATTTTTTTTTGACATAGTTCATTTTTCATGGAAATAGGTTGTAGATAAGTCTCTACTGCTAATGTTTTTCTTTTGCAGCATCAAATCAACTCTGTAACTGTGAAAAATATACGTTTATCTTGTTCCAAAATTTTATAGACAGGGTGAGACAATAGGCGGATATGATTTGAAAAAATAAAAGCCACAAAGGTAACTCCTTAAATAATAAATGTAAAAAATCACGAAGGAGAAATTTTTCTAGACACTAAAATAATTACTATTGCTTTCTTTCCCACTTAAAGTTAGAACAAAAAACCGCGTAACCACACACAGCTACAACAAACCAACACAGATTGATCATCTGTGAAATATGACGTCTCATTTTGTGATATTTTCCAAAATATTGTGAAGGCAATTCGAAGCAATTAAGGGAATTGGTGGGTACAAAGCCTATTTAAGGTACGGACTGGATTGATCTAATTTAGCTATCAACGTCCTTACGGCAGAGGTTTCCCAAACCCCCCTTCTCAAACGACCAGAATTTAAGAGAAACGGGAAGAACTACTTCGCACGATTTAAACGGGAAAATTTAATTCCCAAATCTCAACATTCCCTTTCTCCAAACATCCCCAACAGATTAAAAACCGCAAACGTATTAAAAAAAATAACAAATGCTTTGCCACAATTCCCTCCCTCCATCCTGTTATTCCAGCGCAAAACGATTTTATTGTTTTTGTAAAGAAAAACAATCTCTTGGCCGAAGAGGAGCGCATCCCCAAAACCCGTGAACTTCAAAGGGGCGCGAACGTTCGGGCGCGCCAAGGCCGCGGCGGTGGCTGCAAGCGCGGAGAGGAAGCGGGGAAGAAGGGGCCCCCTAACTGCGGAGGGGGCGGGGGAAACGAAAACGCCGCCACGCGGCCCGCGCTCCGCGCGGTAGCCGTGTGTGGGCCCGAGGCGCCTCTCTCGTTCCCAAGCGGCAGCTGAGGCCGGCGGCGCGGCCTAGTTCGGGCGCCAAAGGCGGCGTGGGACCCGCCATCTTCATCCCTTCCCCTCCCCCGGCCTAGCGCCGCCGCCGCCGCTCCGGTCCTCTCCACGCTCCTGCGGCCTCCCAGCATATACCCGGCTACCTCCCCTGTACATACCTGGTGTCGTCAGCCACGTTCCTCACGAACAGAGACGTGTTGGGGGGGCGCAGGTAGCGGGACATGTCGGCGGTGTGAATCTCAGCCAGGGGCTCTAACGGACTCCGCAAACCGTCCGCGGTTCCTACGGACGATCCTCAGACACACACACAGCCAAACGGATCCGCTACGGCAACCGCCTCCTCTCGCGAGACTTCACTCCCGCCTCTACCCCGCCCTACCTCCGTCCAGCGCCGACACTGGCAACGGTTCTTTCCCGCGAGATCACGAGGCTTGCGCCTGCGCATGCGGACGGCTGGGGTTCGCCCTGCAGCCTCGGTCTCATCCATTGGCTTCTCGAGCCGCCTCTTCCTTTTTCCGTCCAACCCGCTCTTTCTTTGTTTTTTGCTTTTTTTTCCCGCTCTTTTCTGTCTTGTACAGGCCGCAAGCCTGGAAGCAGATGTTTTACTCTCTATTCCAAGCCAGCGTGGTCCTTAGAAACAAAAACATGTTATCAGGAGGGATCAATCCCTGGAGAAGGACATCATGCTTGGTAAAGTACAGGGCCAGCGAAAAATAGGAATACCCTCAACAAGATGGATCGACATAGTGGCTGCAACAATGGGCTCAAGCATAACGTTTGTGAGGATGGCGCAGGACCGGACAGTGTTTCTTTCTGTTGTTCATAGGGTCACTATGAGTCGGAACTGACTCCAAGGCAACAACAGCTGGACGAATTTTTTTTTTAAAAAAAACATATATAATTAGGGGATGCAGCCATAAAATTTCCTGTTACGCCCTGGCTTTTATTAGATTCCTGACCAGCATGGGAAGAATTTACAGTCTCTTGTATTGGGTGTGGGAGTCCTGGCGGCGCAGTGGTTTAGTGCTTGGCTGCTAACCGAAACGTTGGCAGTTCGAACCCACCAGCCACTCTCCGTGGGAGATAGATGTGTCACTCTTCTTCCCTAGAGATTACAGCCTGGGAAACTCTGGGGGCAGTTCTACCGTGTCCTACAGGGTCATTATGAGTCAGAATCAACTCTATTGCAAAGGGTTTTGATTTGTGGTGTATTGTGCGGGAAAAGGAAGGGTGTCCCCTTGCATAGAGATGGGTCTGTCTCCAGAGCTTTCATCATGTGCTGCACACTCTTTGAGCGCTTTTGCCCAGGCTGCCCCTCGCCCACACCCTTCTCAGTTTTGGGATGTCCTTGCTCCTCCACTTATCTAGGCTGTTACCTGTTGGCAAAGGTCTTTCCCAATCTTGCCACATTTTAGTCTCCCTGTCATCTACACTGTGATCTCTTGCTGAGGGCTTCCTGGGTAGGCATGTACCAGTCTCAGAATCTCTGTCCATTCTTAAATTATATTTATGTGGGTTATATCTATTAATATTTACTGAATTAGAAATTAAAAGCGAGACGTTTTTAAAACACAAGCACACGTCCCACTACCCTTCATCACATTATGTAGCCTCTGTAAACTCCATTCTACATTTATGAGAGAATGAGCATGAAAAAGGCAAATAATATATTTGTATGGTTTTGACCTTGTAGATGCCCTTGAAAAGTCCTCCCATCCATACTTACTTAGAGAACCATTCCTGGCTCTATCAGACGGAACTTCTGGAGATGAGACACCTCCTGTTAGAATGCCACTGACATGTAGCACAGTGCCAATCAGTAGCAAGGACTAAAACCAAAAAAACAAACCCATTGCCGTCAAGTAGATTCAGACTCATAGTGACCCTATAGGACAGAGCAGAACTGCCCCATAGGGTTTCCAAGGAGTGGCTGGTGAGTGAACCGCCCTGACCTTTTGGTCAGCAGCTGAACACTGCACCACCAGGGCTTGTTAGCAGAGACTCAAGTACTATTTAAATAAATGAGCATTTATTTTTATAAAAGGCCATAAAAGGATTATTTTTGCATCCATCAGCGTCCAAAGCAATTAAGTGATTTGACACAAGTGGTGATAGCCTGCTGCACTCTGTAGCAGAGCTATTGTTTCTACATTTATATTTTCCAAGAAATTTTGGACACTTAATTTATTAAAACGTATTTGTTGATTACCTATTATGTGTCAGACATTGTGATGCAAAACATGGGCCTTATGTTCTAGAAAGGGGGGAGGGCTTACAGAAAATAAGCAAGTAAACAACTAAGGTAATTATAGATTGTAGAATGTGATATGAAAAAACAGTAACGTGATTTAAAAAATTTCTTTAAACAGAGTTGTCTGGGAAATCTTTGCTGAGTGAGTGTCTTACCCCTCCCCCAGGTTAAGCACTTTTTAGGGGCAAGAAAACAGACACCTGCAAATTACCTTCAGTAATGGCGGAAATTTGTAGTCCTGGGGTGGTGAAAAGTGTGAATGAGCTTGGCTGCTAACTGAAAGGTTGAAAGTTTGAGTTCACTCAGAGGTATCTCAGAAAAAAGTCCTGGCAACCTACTTCCAAAAAATCAGCTACTGAAAACCCTATGGAGCACAGTTCTACTCTGACAAACATGGGGTCCCCATGAATCAGAAGGGACTCGACAGCAACTGGTTAATGGGGAAAATTTACACAATCTGGTGGTACTCTAGCCACTGGAGTTTAATACAGGTAAAGGCTTAGAACAGAGCCTGGCACCTAGTAAAAAAAATCAAAACCCATTGCCATCTAGTCGATTCCAACTCTTAGCGACCCTATAGGACAGAGTAGAACTGCCCCATAGAGTTTCCAAGGAATGTCTGATGGATTCAAACTGCCAACCTTTTGGTTAGCAGCTGTAGCACTTAACCACTACGCCACCAGGGTTTCTGGCACCTAGTAAGTGCTCTGTAAATATTAATAGGACTGCTACATAATTTGCCAGGCCCAGTGCAAAATGAAAATGCAGGGACCTTTTGTAAAAAAGATTAAGAATTTCTAAATGGTGACAGCAGAATACCAAGCCAAGCTCAGAGTCCTCTGAGCGCAAGGTCCTGTACAATTGCACAGGTTGCATGTCCACGAAGCTGGCCCTGAATGTTAGCAATTATTATTATTACTCATTGTCTTAGTCATCTAGTGCTGCTGTAACAGAAATACCACAAGAGGATGGCTTTAATAAACAGAAGTTTAGTAGGCTATAAGTCCAAATTCAGGGCATCAGCTCCAGGGGAAGGCTTTCTGTGTTGGCTCTGGAGGAAGGTCCTTGTCATCAATCTTTCCTTGGACTAGGAGCTTCTCAGTGCAGGAACCCCAGGTCCAAAGGACGTGCTCTGCTCCCAGCACTGCTTTCTTGGTGGTATGAGGTCCCCCTGTCTCTCTGCTCGCTTCTCTCTTTTATATCTCAAAAGAATTTGGCTCAAGACACAATCCAATCATTAACATAACTGCTGCCTATCCCAGCTCATTAACATCATAGAGGTAAGATTCACAACACACAGGAAAATCACATCAGATGACAAAACGGTGGACAATCACACAGTACTGGGAATCATGGCCTAGCCAAATTGATACACATATTTTTGGGGGACACAATTCGATCCATGACACTCATAATGCCTTGAGAAATAATAGGAGCAAGTGAGGTACAAATATTTACTCATTGGGATTACTCTCTCTCATACACAAAGTGACCTTTTTGTGCCCTAACATCTCAGAGCATCTCTTCCTTGTTGTTAGGTGCCAACTAGTTGATTCCAACTCATGGCGACCCCACGTGGGCAGAGAACAGCTCCATAGGGTTTTCAAGGCTGTGACCTTTCAGAAGCAGATCACCAGGCTTGTCTTCCGAGGCGCCTCTGAGTGGGTTCGAACCAGTTAGTAGTTAGGTGCTTAATTGTTCGAAAAAGATGACGCTGGGAAAAGTAGAGAAGGTGAGCACCTTTTAGGTAGCTGTTGCTGCAGCTGAGCAATTTACCAAAGTACAAATCTGCTGGAGGGAGAAGGATGGAAAGAAACACTGAGGAATTTTGGAAGTAGAACACTACTTCACAAAAGTACTGCCCAGTGTAGGAAGAGTGCTGCAGTTCACTCTGAATACTATACCCGACTTGGTAATTTTTTTTTTTTTGAAGGCTCAAATGTTAATCTCTGAAAACAGTCCATTGTCACTGTACCCGTCCTTGAAGAAATAAAATCGCTTTCCCTGGTGTTATGGATTGAATTGTGTCTCCCCAAAATGTGTGTCAACTTGGCTAGGCCGTGATTCCCAGTCTTGTGTGGTTGTCCACCATTTTGTGATCTCATGTGATTATCCTGTGTGTTATAAATCCTAACTTTTATGATGTTAGTAGAGGCAGGATTAGAGGTAGTTATGTTAATGAGGCAGAACTCAATCTACAGGATTAGGTTGTATCTCAAGATAATCTCTTTTGCCATATAAAAGGGAGAATTGAGCAGAGAGGAGAGGAACCTCATGCCATCAAGAAAGAAGTGCTGGGAGCGGTGCTTGTCCTTAGGAGCCAGGGTCCCTTCCTGAGAAGCTCCTAGACCAGAGGAAAATTGATGACAAGGACCTTCCCACAGAGCTAACAGAGAGTGAAAGCCTTCCCCTGGAGCTGGTACCTTGAATTTGGACTTCTAGCCTCCTAGACTGTGAGGGAATAAAGCTCTGTTTCTTAAAGCCACCCAACTGTAGTATTTCTGTCGGCAGCACTAGATAACTAAGACACCTGGCTACTATTTTCAGAGCTGCACAAGTAAGACCCAAATGTCAACTATATAACTCTGAATTTCCTTGATGCTGAAACAGGTTTTTGTTTTTTTAATTATTTATTTTATTTTATTGTTATTGTTGGGAATATGCAAAAATGTGGAACATTTCATGAATTTTTGTGTCATCCTTGTGCATGGGCTATGCTGATCTCTGTATCGTTCCAATTTTAGTAAATGTGCTGCCAAAGGAAGCATTGAAACAATTTTTTCTTGATTTGGGGGTAATGGAACAGACACCACAGCTCAGTGAACCATGCTGCTTGCTGGAAGGAAACTCATGGGAACAACTTCTGTGTGTGATATCAGTGGGAATTATGAGTCTATTCCCATAAGCAGAACCAAAACCTTGAGTCAATACAAGAAGATTAATTTTATTGGTACAACTATTTAATTCAGACAATTGTTATGGACAGTACTCAGCACCATGTTTTTGTCTGCGTAGGCAAACAATCAATTATAAGCATGTTCTTTAAATTTGTTTAGTAAGACATGCCTGCTATTTCCTATAAGTCTTCTCACTCTGGTGAGTAGGCAACAAGCCAAGTTCCCCAGGCTGAGGAGGACTCAGTGTTCCTATTGAACTATTCTGTTCCTTACTTGTGGGTTGGAAACTTTTGGGCACACACCCATATATCCGCACATTATCAATTTACCTAGGTAAGGCTCTCCTTTTAACCTCTGGCTCCCACTAGTTCTGCTCTGTGGGCGAATTAACAGCTAATGCACACTTTTGTTCATCATGTTCCTTAGATGGTGTATTCTAGCATATAGATTGCTACCTGGAATCTGCTTAAGGTGAAATCACTTGTTACATCTTAGTCTTATTTTTATTTATTTATTGTTATGCTTTAAGTGAAAGTTTACAATTCAAGTTAGTTTCTCATACAAAACTTTATACATACATTGTTATGTGACCCTAGTTGCTCTCCCTATACTGTGACAGAACTCTTCCTTTCCACCCCGGATTTCCCATGTCCATTCAACCAGCTCCTAACCCTCTCTGCCTTCTCATCTCCCCTCTAGACAGGCGCTGCCCATTTAGTCTCATGTATCAACTTGAGCTAAAAGCACTCTTCACGAATATCATTTTATGTCCCATAGTCCAGTCTAATCTTTGTCTGAAGAGTTGGCCTCAGGAATGATTTTAGTTTTGGGCTAACAGAGAGCCTGGGGGCCATGTCTTCCAGGGTCCCTCCAGTCTCAATCAAACCATTAAGTATGGTCTTTTTACTAGAATTTGAGTTCTGCACCCTGCTTTTCTCCTGCTCTTTCAGGGACTCTCTGATATGTTCCCTGTCAGGGCGGTCACTGTGATAGCCAGGCATCATCTAGTTCTTCTGGTCTCAGGCTGATGGAGTCTCTGGTTTATGTGGCCCTTTCTGTCTCTTGGGCTAATACTTTCCTTGTGTACTAGGTGTTCTTCATTCTCCTTTACTCCAGATGAGTTGGGACCAATTGATGCATCTTAGATGGCTGCTTGCTAGCTTTTAAGACCCCAGACGCCACTCACCAAAGTGGGATGCAGAACATTCCCTTAATAAACTTTGTTATGCCAATTGAACTAGATGTCCCTTGAAAGCATGGTCCCCAGTCCCCCAGCCCTGCTACTCTGTCCCTCAAAGTGTTTGGTTGTATTCAGGAAACTTCTTAGCTTTGGTTTAGTCCAGTTGTGCTGACTTCCCCTGTAGTGTGTGCTGTCCTTCTGTTCACCTAAGATAATTCTTGTTTACTTTCTAGTTAGTGAATACCCCTCTTCCTCCCTCCCCACCCTTGTAGCCGTCAAGGAATGTTTTCTTCTGTGTTTAAACCTTTTCTTGGGTTCTTATAATAGTGGTCTTATATAATATTTGACCTTTTGTGACTAAGTTCACTCAGCATAATACCTTCCAGATTCCTCCATGTTATAAGATGTTTCACAGATTCATCCTTGTTCTTTATCCTTGTGTAGTATTCCATTGTGTGAATATACTATAATTTATTTATCCGTTCGTCCGTTGATAGACACCTAGGTTGTTCACATCTTTTTGCTATCATGAAGAGTGTTGCAGCGAACATGGGTGTGCATATATCTATTCGTGTGACAGCTGTTCTTTCTCTAGGATATATTCCAAGGAGTGGGATTGCTGGATCGTATGGTACTTCTATTTCTAGCTTTTTAAGGAAGCGCCAAATTGATTTCCAAAGCAGCTGTACCATTTTACATTCTCATCAACGGTGTATAAGTGTTCCAGTCTCTCCACATCCTCTCTAACATTTATTATTTTGTGTTTTTTGGCTTAATGCTAGCCTTGTTGGAGTGAGATGATATCTCATTGAAGTTCTGATTTGCATTTCTCTAATGGCTAATGATCGTGAGCATTTTCTCATGTCTGTTAGCTGTCTGAATGTCTTCTTTGACGAAGTGCCTGTTCATATCCTTCTCCCATTTTTTAAATAGGTTGTTTGTCTTTTTGTTGTTGAGGTTTTGCAGTATCTTGTAG